CTCATTTCTATTACTAGAAATGGATCATAGGTTAATACACAGTCAGTTTTGGTAAACAGTGCCAAGCAGTTCTCTGAAGTGCAATGCCTATCATTCATTTCCACATTACCACATGATGTGCCACTGTACAGGGCAACACAACTCATGTACACGGTTCACAGTTTCTAAGATGCTACTGTTATAAACAACATGGCACAAAAGAATTCTTTGTATTATAGCCGCCTAGGTTGTAAGCTAAATTTATAGAAAATAAATTAATTAAAATGATTGTAACATTTTATATATACTACCAATTACTCTCAAAAGAGATTTCAATAATCAATAGTCTTACCACTAATTTACAAGTGCTTATGTTTCACTCTTATTATATCTACGAAAAATGTTAAGTAGTAAGTGAAATCTGGCATACATTGATTATTTCAAATTGAACAAAAGTTAATAGAAGAAAAACTAAAAGACAAAAATCTATACAGGAAAAATTTTATTTTGATGAAACTAAAACTCTGGAATATGAGATTTTTCTGGCAAATTATTGGACACTGGGACATGTCCCCTTGAGAGACCACAGCAATTATGCACATAATTTTTTCTGTGAATGCTCAAAGAAAAGAATCGTGCTTGTACATGCATTAGCACTGCTACGCTTCCCTCTGACTCTCACCACTGCTCTCTTCTCAGTACCCGAGGGAGATAAATAAAGAGAGACAGCTGGCTTTATCTGCTTACCCTCCCCTCACCAATACACACAGAATCAAACAAAACAGGGCTCTGAGGCTAGAACTTAATGCACAATGCTATATGTCTAAATTGCATGCATTAAAATACCAAACTGTCATAATAATACAGTCTATGTTTACTAAAAACTCAGCTTGTCCTAAGTTAAAAAATAAGACACAAACAAAATCCCTTTCCATTTAACTCACATGAAAAGAAAGACATCTGCTTCTTCCCTTGTCTTACTTAAGCTCTTAAGGACTGATTTCTCTTGGTTTTTCAGTACTGAGGACTGAACTCAGGAGTCCATTTATGACAGGCAAGCATTCAGCTACTGAGCTACACAATTCACCCCTCCTCCCGCTCACTCCCAAACTCTTTTTTTTTTGTCTGAAGACTCGTGAGGATCAAGAGCAGTCATGAGTCACATAAAAGTGACTTGAGGATTGACTCTGGAGATGGCGCAGTGAGAAAGAGCTTATGCATGGTCCAAGTATGAGGCTCTGAGTTTGAATGCAGGGAATCCACATAAAAAGCGAGGCTTTGTAACACTGATCTATAATCCCTGTGCTCTGGCAATAAGATGGCAGGTGGAAATAGGAGGAAATAGGGTTAGGGTTAGGGTTAGGGTTAGGGTTAGGGTTAGGGTTAGGGTTAGGGTTAGGGTTAGGGTTAGGGTTAGGGTTAGGAAGCCTGTCTGGCACAGCAGAGGTAAACAATAAAGAAGCCTTGCCTCACAACAAGATGGAATGGTTCATGACGTGGTTGGTCCTGATCCTCTACCTGTGCAGTGGCATGTGACTGTGCTTACATTTACATTTATGCAAAATACACACACATCAGATTTTAAAGCTACTTATAGATGAACAAATAAAAATAAATTCTCAAGTAATCCTGTAAATTTAAGGTACTGAGTTCATTGAAAAGATGAGGGAACTGTTTTAGAAAAGAATAGTTGTCCATATGACAACTCACAACCAATGAACCAATGGTAGAGCTATAACTGAAATTCAGGTGAGATCTGTGCTCTTTCCGTGGTAGCTAGCTTGATAATCTAGGTGAACTCTAGAATGTTCATATATATATGTGTGTGTGTGTGTGTGTGTGTGTGTGTGTGTGTGTGTGTGTGTGTGTGTATACACACATACACACATATATATAGATATGTATATACTTTTGTTTTGTTTTGTTTTTTGTTTTTTGAGACAGGGTTTCTCTGTGTAGCCCTGGCTGTCCTGAAACTCACTCTGTAGACCAGGCTGGCCTCGAACTCAGAAATCCGCCTGCCTCTGCCTCCCAAGTGGTGGGATTAAAGGCGTGCGCCACCACCGCCCAGCCATATATTTTATATAAGTAAATTATAATTACCCTATATATACATAAACAGGTTACAAAATTATTACAAATCTCATTGATATTAAATTGTATGCTACGGGTGTATACTTTTTAGCAACTAGTGGGAAGGAGAACTCTTGACATTTGTGAGTAATGGCTGAGCTGTCTCTCTAGCCAGAAAACTTTAATAATACAATAAAAACATACTGTGAATAGGAAAGTTCATGTAAAAGCCCTTGCAAGTAGGGTTATAACTTTACTGCTGGGTAGTGGTGGCGCATGCCTTTAATCCCAGCACTTGGGAGGCAGAGGCAGGTGGATTTCTGAGTTTGAGGCCAGCCTGGTCTACAGAGTAAGTTCCAGGACAGCCAGGGCTATACAGAGAAACCCTGTCTTCAAAAACCAAAAACCAAAAAAAAAAAAAAAAAAAAAAACCTTTATAATATAAAACAGGCAATGCTGACGAGAATGCTTGCAAGAAATAATAAAGTTCTGGACATTGTTTAATCTCAACTGGTTTTCTCTTCTGTCCAATCAGACTTCCTCAATACTTGTTAAACTCCTATTATGCTCCATATAGTGTTCTAGTACTCTAGAGAAAAAAGCCCATTGAGGTGTTTGGGATCAAGTCCAAATATTGCTTACACACACGATAGTCGAAGTAGAGACATGAGTATGTGATGCACCGTCATGTCACAAGCATCTGACGAAAACTAATGTAGGCTAAGGGGATGGAAAATACAGAAGAGACTATTTTAGTGTAGGGTGATCACAGAAGGCCTCACTGAAAAGACAGCTTTGAACAGAGATCTCAATGAAGGAAAAGAATAAGACAGATACCCTAGGAAAGAGCTCCTAAGGCAACAGATGTGTTCAAAGAATAGTAAATACAACTGAGTGAACAAAGGGGAGAAAGACAGGATAGGAAGTAACAAACAACTAAAGTGTAATATCTTTGAAGGTCTTGTTTACTATGGTGAGGGAGGGGCTGAGGAAAGGAGAACAGGAAAAAGAAAACCACGCTCCCACAGACTTGTGGTTAGAAGCGGGCTACAGTGGATGCACACTGCTGTACAGTAAACAAGAAATGACTTGAGACAAAGACAGTACTAATGGATATAGAGGTAAGTGAGAAAGTTCAAACAGTATCAAGACAGCAATAGGATTTCTTATATGTATAAGTAACAAAATATGAAGGATGTTTGGAATCTAAGTGTTGGCCAAAGGTCATGTGTCACGTGTGTCTCCCCCAGTTCCTAGTGTTCTGGGAGGGAGAAACTTGAAGAGGTCAGGCTCAGTGAGCAACTTGTCTCTAACACTGTGACTACCATGAGGTTCTGCCTGCCACAGGCCTGAAGTGTCAAGGCCAAGTGATCAAGAACTAAAGTCTTTACAACCATAAGGCAAAGTAAGTCTTTCTTTCTTTTAATTTGATGATTTCAGCTAACACAGGGATAAACAGAGACTTAAAATTTTGGGCTTTTTCTGGGGGACTTAAAAAAAAAAAAAAGAATGGTCATTTTGTCTATTTAATGGGAAATGCCTATTAGATAGCCAAACAGCCAATTAGATATTTTTCAGAGGAGAGAGACTATATACTTGCAAGTCATTAGCATAGAGATAGTATTTGTAGCCATAAGCTTGAATAATTTGCCTAAACAGAAAATGAACATAGAAAGTAGAAATATAAGAACTGCATATATGTCGGGCAGTGGTTGTGCACGCCTTTAATCTCAGCACTTGGGAGGCAGAGACAGGTGGATTTCTGAGTTCGAGGCCAGCCTGGTCTACAGAGTGAGTTCCAGGACAGCCAGGGCTATACAGAGAAACCCTGTCTCGAAAAACCAAAAAAAAAAAAAAAAAAAAA